CCCTGTGCCTGCAGGCTTTGCTCACGTTCCCAGTGTAAGAGCCAGTTGAGAGCTCAGCTCAGCTTCACTAACTGCAGAAATCCAGCCTCTGCCAGCCATGTTTTTCTCTCCCCTGAAACACTGAACTGCTGCAAGAAGCAACGTTTCAATAGCTCCTTTACTGCACAAAAGCTAGGACATAAGAACAGATTTCCAGACCAGGCATACTTTTCAGGGAGGCACCAGACAAGTGGAGACAACGGGAAGCACTGGCAAGTCAAAGCTGTGTTCAAAGCTTGGATGCAAGATCTAACGTCAACTTTTCCCAGGCAGGTTAGCTACGGCGATGATAAATCATGGCCAAAAGCTTCCCTGCACCAGATCACCAAATCCAAGAGGTCAGGAGCTGCAGAGATGGAGATCCATCTCAGCCCAGGAATCCTTCCGTTCAGCTCACAGGCAGAAGGCAGTGGGGCTCTCACGTCGCTCTGCTCCCAGGCTGGCTCCCCAATACAGCGCAGAGACTGACTGGCATCATTTGCATGTCTCCTTTGCCTACTGGCAAGCACGCCCACTGCAGGGCACCTCTCATCCCACCCTCAGTCCTTGTAAGAAACACCAGGGCAAATCCGCCTGCGCTGAGCACAGCCCTTCCTTCCACTGAGCAACAAAGAAACCGTTCTGCCCTTGCTCCTGACCCTTGTCCTACCTCCGCCTGCCCTCAGAGTACAGCCGTCTTCTCTTGTGGAGGGAAAGGGAGAGAAAAAGGGAGAGGAAAAAGGGAGAGGAAAAAGGGAGAGGGAAAAAGGGAAACAGGGAAAGGGATATATGAATATGTCAAGCCTGAGTCATGGCAATCATAAGCCCTGTGCACATTCTACGTTTCTTACACCCTCCACCCTTCTCACAGCCATACACGGGGCTCTGGGGAGCCGACGTCTCCGCTGTTGGGGGTCCTGCTGCCACCTCGCGGTCCCTTCAGGAGCCCCCAGCTACTGCCCTGAGCCCTCCGGTTCCCCCTGCTGCCCCTTGAAAACCTCAGGATGCCAGCAGCACCTCGTGCCTTAGGATGCCCGGTGGATTTCACAAGGATGCTCTCATCTCCCGCATTGTGCTCACTGGCAAAAACATCCAGCGGCGCTGACCAGAGCTCAGCGGTGACATGCAGGGAAACCTGCTGTGCTGCAGCGTGAGCCTCCGGTCCCGCTGCTGGGCACCGCCGGGTGCAGCCCGGCTCCGTCCTCTCCGCAGCTCCCTGCAGGGACCGATGGCCGTGCCCGGGATCCCCCCGAGCCTCCTCTTGCGCAGGCTGAGCTGCCCCAGCTCTCCCAGAATCCCACCCCAACCATTTCCCACGCGGCGTTGATGAGGGGCAGGGATCTGGGGGGAAGGAACGGGGCTGGTGGTTGCAGTCCTATGACGGCGGTTTGTGCCGCCTCGTCCTTACCCGGCGGTGGGCACGGGGACGGGCGGGTCTTTAGAGCTGCAGAATGGACTGCAGACAGAAGTGCTGAAAAACGAACGCTAAACATTTAATCATTGAACGTACAGAGCAATAAACAGAGAAATGACCGCATTCCCAACCATCTCCCACCCGAACAATCATCCCCCCCTCACGGCTTCCCTCCTCGGGGCCAACACGAAGCGGCTCCACGTCGGCTTCACGCGGCTCCGGGAGCTCCGCACGGGGACACACAGACGGAAACCGGCACTTGGGGACTGCGGCTGCGGGGCAGCAGCTCAGCACAGCGCTGCCGACGATTGGAGCCGGCGAGAGCCGAAGGCTCTTGCGGACTCCGTGCCGGGCTCGAACGCGTCTCGATCCGTGCGGTCGCTCCCTCTCTTCCGGGGCTGCCCGGCTCAGCCAGGAGCCGCTCCCGGACACCGGCCGGGTCCCGCCGCTCGCGGTCAGCCGCCGCTTCTCGCAGCCCGGCGGCGCCCCGCCGCAACGACGGAGGACGGCTCGGTTCCGACGGGGGACGGACGGGGCGGGCGGCGGTGCCCCCGCACCGCCTTCCCCTGACCGCCCGGCGTCCCCTTCCCTGAAGCTGCTCCGCCCATAAATGTTGGCAGGGGTCTAAAGCCACAGCCACCAGTCCTGCTAACGCAGGGTTTGGTGAAAGGGGTGCAGCATTTGGCACTGGGGTGCAACTTCTTGTTAAAAGGGTGAAATCTTTGGGCCTTGGCTTCAGGCTTTTGCTGAAGGGGTTCAGCCTGTTGTTCCTGGGGTTATGCTGTTTGGCACCATTTGACCTGGGGCTTCTGCTTTTGGTTTTCATTTCTCCTGTCTTCCATCTGTATGCCTCTCCAGAGCTCCCCAGCAGAGACACTTTTTCTTTGCTGCAGCCTTCGTGGACAAACTCCACTGGGCAGAAGAGATCTGTGCAGACACAGCAGCAGACGTCTGTGTGCAGAGGGGCGCTGCTCATCCCGTTTCTCTTCCCATCTACGTCTCGTCCCACTCGGTGCCTTTTGAAGGGCGGAATCTCTTTCCGTCTCCTGAGTCGTGCCTCCCCTGGTCAGCAAAGGGCCGCTACCGCACTGGAGTCATCCAAACTCAGAGGAATAATAGATGACCATTTATTGAGAGCTTTCTTAACAGCCAGCAACAGCCAATTGGTGGTAACATTGGCCAATGGGCTGATTGCAATGAATAACTGTAGGCAATGGCTGTGACAAAGAGCCAAAGAATACCAGATGACAAAAAGGCAGAAAATGGGGAAAGAGGGACAGGCAGCAAAGCGCTCGTAGATCCAGCCACGTCTTGGTGTCAGGTGCGGACCTCCAGTGTGCTGGGTCGTCGTCGGAGGTGGTGTTCAGCCGACGACGGCTCACGACGACAGTAGAAACTCACTGAGAAGTCCAAAGGGGTGGCACTCAGCCGCCTGTCAGCACTGCCCCACAGCTGTGCCTGTGCGCCCCGGGGGGCAGGAGCACAGGAGAGGCCCCTTCCATGGGGACAGAGCCCTCTCCCCGCGCCCCACCGCGCAGCCCCGAGCTGGGAGGGGCTACCGAGCCCGGCGGTCAGATGGGCAGCAGCCCATCACAGACCACACGCAGGGTGCTGCTCGCAAAGTACGCCAGGGAAGCGTACGTTGCCCGGGGCAGCACTCGAGGCAGGAGCCGATAGAAGAGCTCCAGGTCGAAGTGCTGGGCGTACAGCACTGCAGAGCCCAGCACAACAACGAGGAGCAGCTGGAGGCAGACCAGGATGAGGCAGATCGTCCTGCGGGGCAAAAGAGAAAGGGGGCCGGGAATGAGGCGTCCCCCCCCACGGCAGCACAGCCCCACACAGTGCCGAAGGGGCCGTTTGGGAGCCCCGCCGGCTGCAGTGGGGGTCCAGGCCATCAGCCCCCCGCCGGGAGCCCGGCTGCTGGCGGCTGGGCACGGGGCAACGAGGGGACACTCACTGCATCCAGAAGGCGAGCCCTCGTCTCCTCGCCCGCTCCTCCTTCTCCTGTAGGTGAACACGGGGCAGGGACGGTGGTCAGGCCCTGCTGCACAGCCGGGGCTCGTGCGGGACAGCGGGAGCCGGCAGCGCAGCAGCACAGCCCCGGTGCTGCAGGGAGCCCCGTCCCCGGGGAGACCCTTGTGGGTGGGGTGAGGGTGCGGTGGGCTCTGCCCCTTACCAGCTGTGCCTCCACCAGCTCCGGCAGCACAGCCCCAGGCACGGGGGCTGCCTCCAACTCCACCTGATGCTGCTGCCTGTAGGGCACAAGGCTTGGTCGGAGGCTGCCGGCCTCTGTCACCGCGGGGACTGCCCAGCAGTGTGCGCCCACCCCAGGGCTGGGATGGGGCTGCTCCGTCCCGCCACGTGCCGAACGGAACCCGAGCCCCAAGCCCAGCAGCGCTGCAGCCCCATTGCTGCCCTTAGTGCTGCAGAGACCCCGGGGTGCAGGCGTGGGCTGCAGGGCCCAGTCCCACTCACCAGGCACTCTCCACCTCCAGCTCCTCCAGCTCCTCTTGCAGGCGCCGTTTCTCCTGGCGCAGCACCTGGCAGACAAAAGCGTGAGCGCCGTGCCCGCTGCAGCCCTCCTCCAGGTCCCCAGCCTGGGGGCGGGCAGCCCCGATCCCCTCGCCCCTCCACACTACCTCAATCTCCTCGCTCTCGGCCTGCAGCTGCTTTTCCAGCTGGGCGATGAGCTGCTTCTCCTGCAAGACAACAGCTGGGCCATGTGGGATGGCTGTGCTGGGACCCATGGACCCAAGGGACCGGGACCGACGTCCTCCTCACAGCCAGAGCCGTGAGGACGCCGAGCTCTGAGGACGAGCCCCCGCTCCACCCTACCTGCTCCAGCTGCTCTCGCCTAGCAGCCTCTCTTTCGTCCTGCACTTTCCGGCACTCCTGCGGGCAAGGAGGAGAGGCCATCAGGGCACCGGCGCTCCCACGGAGCTCCGTGCCGCCGTCCCCTCCCACCTCCTCCATCGGGGCGACTGGCGCCCGCAGGGCTGCAGCTGCAGCCCCGCACGGGGGGACTTCTCCCACCCCACGCCCCACGGCAGCACTGCTGAGCCCGCACACCCACACCGGCCCGTGTCGCTGCATCCGCTCACCTTCATCAGGAGTTCCTTGGCTTCAGCTCTGTGGTTCTCCACAGCCCTCTCATGAGCCTGTGGGAGGAGAGAGGAGCGGCGCTGGCACCGAGGCGCTGCCGGCAGCTCTGCATCCCGCCGGAGGTGCCCGGCCCTCTGCTGCCGCGCCACAGGCAGGGCGCCCTCCAGCCGGCAGCTCGGCCCGCCGGCCCTTCTGTGCCCGCCCACCCAGAGCTCACCTCCATCAGCTCCTGCAGCAGCTTCACGCGCTGCAGCGCTGTTAAATTTCCGCTGGCAAACTGGGCCCGCATGGCTGCACCGCTCGCACAGCTGCTCGCAGACCTGCACACCCGCAGAATGGGGCCGGCAGGGTGAGCGCTGACCCACTGCCCCTGCCCCGCCCCGGGGCCTCTGTGAGCTCAGCACGGCATTGTGACATCACCAGCACAGGAGGGTCCTTGGAGATCATTAAGAACCACAGCATGGATGCGTTGGGAAAGTCCTGGAAGGTCATAGAACCATAGGATGGTTTGTGTTGGAAGGGTCCTGGAAGATCATTAAGAACCACAGGATGGCTTGGTTGGGATGGCCAGCGTTGGGAGTTCCTTGATGATCAAAGAACCGTAGATTGGTTTGTGTTGGAAGGGTCCTGGAAGATCAGAGAGGCACAGGATGGCATGGGTTGGGATGTTTCTTGGTGATCATTGAACTATAGAACGGTTTGTGCCGCAAGGGTCCTTGAAGATCACAGTTTGTTCTGTCTGCCGGAACATCTGCTCCCTCTGATGGGATTTCTGGAATCGGCTTAGAATTGACGTCCTCTTGTTGAAGATAAGATGGCAAAACGGATGCCTCAGCATGACGTAACATCAGTGGGAGCCGGTTTGGGCAGGCCCCCTTAAAAGGTTGGAAATTGACAGCGAGGATGACTGTTAGCCTTCATCTCATGACCACCAGAGATGTGAATTATTTCTTGGAATTTCTGCCCATGTCCTTGGAATGTGATGGATACGTACATGCTACGCCTATAAATCTGCAGTCCCTGCTTCTCTGGCTGTGCGTGTTGGTGGAGCGATCCCACGCACCCGGCTGTAATAAAGGCATCGCCTGCTTGACGCAACACATGCCGTGTCCCATTCCTGAGTTGGTTTCCTCAGCCTCACCACGGCCTAAGAGAATAAGCTTGTTGGACTAGACACTGTTCAGCTTTCAAACCCCATGATTTTAAATGAGATGCCACGCTCCAGGAAGCTGAGGTGCTGAGCTTCTTTTGACTCAACTGGCTCGTAGAGCTACGGTGAGATATTTCCTTTATTGCAGTCTAAACGGAGTAGGATGGGCTGCTGCTTTCCTTCTGCAGTGCAGAGCAGTCCATCCATCCCAGCACCACCGCCAGTCGCCCACACGGCCCAGTGCTGGGGACGGCGGTTCCGCCGGCGCCGTGACCGGACTCAGCTGAAAGCCACTCCGCCCCACCCTGGCATGAAAAGCAGGAAAGTGGCGAGGCGTGCGGAGGGGGCGGGAATGGAGGGGTTGCTCCAGATGTTGCTGTGTTCCCTTCAGTGGCCCAGGCCAAGCTCGCTGAGCTGCTCCTCCTTGGAGCAGGGGAGCGGTGCAGGTGCGATGAGCTGGCCATGCACAGCACACCCTTTCCTTGCTTTTTGCCTCTCCGCCTTCCGCGAGTGAACAGCATCTCCAATCTTTCCTTGCTCAACAACCACTCAGCTCAAAAAGAACTGGCAAGCTTGCTTTTAGAATTACTTTGTACAGCCTGATGCTGTAAAGCACGAGCTCTCCCAGCGATGACCTGCCTCTGACGTGCTCAGCCTGCAGGGAAAAGCTAATCCCCTGTGCCTGCAGGCTTTGCTCACGTTCCCAGTGTAAGAGCCAGTTGAGAGCTCAGCTCAGCTTCACTAACTGCAGAAATCCAGCCTCTGCCAGCCATGTTTTTCTCTCCCCTGAAACACTGAACTGCTGCAAGAAGCAACGTTTCAATAGCTCCTTTACTGCACAAAAGCTAGGACATAAGAACAGATTTCCAGACCAGGCATACTTTTCAGGGAGGCACCAGACAAGTGGAGACAACGGGAAGCACTGGCAAGTCAAAGCTGTGTTCAAAGCTTGGATGCAAGATCTAACGTCAACTTTTCCCAGGCAGGTTAGCTACGGCGATGATAAATCATGGCCAAAAGCTTCCCTGCACCAGATCACCAAATCCAAGAGGTCAGGAGCTGCAGAGATGGAGATCCATCTCAGCCCAGGAATCCTTCCGTTCAGCTCACAGGCAGAAGGCAGTGGGGCTCTCACGTCGCTCTGCTCCCAGGCTGGCTCCCCAATACAGCGCAGAGACTGACTGGCATCATTTGCATGTCTCCTTTGCCTACTGGCAAGCACGCCCACTGCAGGGCACCTCTCATCCCACCCTCAGTCCTTGTAAGAAACACCAGGGCAAATCCGCCTGCGCTGAGCACAGCCCTTCCTTCCACTGAGCAACAAAGAAACCGTTCTGCCCTTGCTCCTGACCCTTGTCCTACCTCCGCCTGCCCTCAGAGTACAGCCGTCTTCTCTTGTGGAGGGAAAGGGAGAGAAAAAGGGAGAGGAAAAAGGGAGAGGAAAAAGGGAGAGGGAAAAAGGGAAACAGGGAAAGGGATATATGAATATGTCAAGCCTGAGTCATGGCAATCATAAGCCCTGTGCACATTCTACGTTTCTTACACCCTCCACCCTTCTCACAGCCATACACGGGGCTCTGGGGAGCCGACGTCTCCGCTGTTGGGGGTCCTGCTGCCACCTCGCGGTCCCTTCAGGAGCCCCCAGCTACTGCCCTGAGCCCTCCGGTTCCCCCTGCTGCCCCTTGAAAACCTCAGGATGCCAGCAGCACCTCGTGCCTTAGGATGCCCGGTGGATTTCACAAGGATGCTCTCATCTCCCGCATTGTGCTCACTGGCAAAAACATCCAGCGGCGCTGACCAGAGCTCAGCGGTGACATGCAGGGAAACCTGCTGTGCTGCAGCGTGAGCCTCCGGTCCCGCTGCTGGGCACCGCCGGGTGCAGCCCGGCTCCGTCCTCTCCGCAGCTCCCTGCAGGGACCGATGGCCGTGCCCGGGATCCCCCCGAGCCTCCTCTTGCGCAGGCTGAGCTGCCCCAGCTCTCCCAGAATCCCACCCCAACCATTTCCCACGCGGCGTTGATGAGGGGCAGGGATCTGGGGGGAAGGAACGGGGCTGGTGGTTGCAGTCCTATGACGGCGGTTTGTGCCGCCTCGTCCTTACCCGGCGGTGGGCACGGGGACGGGCGGGTCTTTAGAGCTGCAGAATGGACTGCAGACAGAAGTGCTGAAAAACGAACGCTAAACATTTAATCATTGAACGTACAGAGCAATAAACAGAGAAATGACCGCATTCCCAACCATCTCCCACCCGAACAATCATCCCCCCCTCACGGCTTCCCTCCTCGGGGCCAACACGAAGCGGCTCCACGTCGGCTTCACGCGGCTCCGGGAGCTCCGCACGGGGACACACAGACGGAAACCGGCACTTGGGGACTGCGGCTGCGGGGCAGCAGCTCAGCACAGCGCTGCCGACGATTGGAGCCGGCGAGAGCCGAAGGCTCTTGCGGACTCCGTGCCGGGCTCGAACGCGTCTCGATCCGTGCGGTCGCTCCCTCTCTTCCGGGGCTGCCCGGCTCAGCCAGGAGCCGCTCCCGGACACCGGCCGGGTCCCGCCGCTCGCGGTCAGCCGCCGCTTCTCGCAGCCCGGCGGCGCCCCGCCGCAACGACGGAGGACGGCTCGGTTCCGACGGGGGACGGACGGGGCGGGCGGCGGTGCCCCCGCACCGCCTTCCCCTGACCGCCCGGCGTCCCCTTCCCTGAAGCTGCTCCGCCCATAAATGTTGGCAGGGGTCTAAAGCCACAGCCACCAGTCCTGCTAACGCAGGGTTTGGTGAAAGGGGTGCAGCATTTGGCACTGGGGTGCAACTTCTTGTTAAAAGGGTGAAATCTTTGGGCCTTGGCTTCAGGCTTTTGCTGAAGGGGTTCAGCCTGTTGTTCCTGGGGTTATGCTGTTTGGCACCATTTGACCTGGGGCTTCTGCTTTTGGTTTTCATTTCTCCTGTCTTCCATCTGTATGCCTCTCCAGAGCTCCCCAGCAGAGACACTTTTTCTTTGCTGCAGCCTTCGTGGACAAACTCCACTGGGCAGAAGAGATCTGTGCAGACACAGCAGCAGACGTCTGTGTGCAGAGGGGCGCTGCTCATCCCGTTTCTCTTCCCATCTACGTCTCGTCCCACTCGGTGCCTTTTGAAGGGCGGAATCTCTTTCCGTCTCCTGAGTCGTGCCTCCCCTGGTCAGCAAAGGGCCGCTACCGCACTGGAGTCATCCAAACTCAGAGGAATAATAGATGACCATTTATTGAGAGCTTTCTTAACAGCCAGCAACAGCCAATTGGTGGTAACATTGGCCAATGGGCTGATTGCAATGAATAACTGTAGGCAATGGCTGTGACAAAGAGCCAAAGAATACCAGATGACAAAAAGGCAGAAAATGGGGAAAGAGGGACAGGCAGCAAAGCGCTCGTAGATCCAGCCACGTCTTGGTGTCAGGTGCGGACCTCCAGTGTGCTGGGTCGTCGTCGGAGGTGGTGTTCAGCCGACGACGGCTCACGACGACAGTAGAAACTCACTGAGAAGTCCAAAGGGGTGGCACTCAGCCGCCTGTCAGCACTGCCCCACAGCTGTGCCTGTGCGCCCCGGGGGGCAGGAGCACAGGAGAGGCCCCTTCCATGGGGACAGAGCCCTCTCCCCGCGCCCCACCGCGCAGCCCCGAGCTGGGAGGGGCTACCGAGCCCGGCGGTCAGATGGGCAGCAGCCCATCACAGACCACACGCAGGGTGCTGCTCGCAAAGTACGCCAGGGAAGCGTACGTTGCCCGGGGCAGCACTCGAGGCAGGAGCCGATAGAAGAGCTCCAGGTCGAAGTGCTGGGCGTACAGCACTGCAGAGCCCAGCACAACAACGAGGAGCAGCTGGAGGCAGACCAGGATGAGGCAGATCGTCCTGCGGGGCAAAAGAGAAAGGGGGCCGGGAATGAGGCGTCCCCCCCCACGGCAGCACAGCCCCACACAGTGCCGAAGGGGCCGTTTGGGAGCCCCGCCGGCTGCAGTGGGGGTCCAGGCCATCAGCCCCCCGCCGGGAGCCCGGCTGCTGGCGGCTGGGCACGGGGCAACGAGGGGACACTCACTGCATCCAGAAGGCGAGCCCTCGTCTCCTCGCCCGCTCCTCCTTCTCCTGTAGGTGAACACGGGGCAGGGACGGTGGTCAGGCCCTGCTGCACAGCCGGGGCTCGTGCGGGACAGCGGGAGCCGGCAGCGCAGCAGCACAGCCCCGGTGCTGCAGGGAGCCCCGTCCCCGGGGAGACCCTTGTGGGTGGGGTGAGGGTGCGGTGGGCTCTGCCCCTTACCAGCTGTGCCTCCACCAGCTCCGGCAGCACAGCCCCAGGCACGGGGGCTGCCTCCAACTCCACCTGATGCTGCTGCCTGTAGGGCACAAGGCTTGGTCGGAGGCTGCCGGCCTCTGTCACCGCGGGGACTGCCCAGCAGTGTGCGCCCACCCCAGGGCTGGGATGGGGCTGCTCCGTCCCGCCACGTGCCGAACGGAACCCGAGCCCCAAGCCCAGCAGCGCTGCAGCCCCATTGCTGCCCTTAGTGCTGCAGAGACCCCGGGGTGCAGGCGTGGGCTGCAGGGCCCAGTCCCACTCACCAGGCACTCTCCACCTCCAGCTCCTCCAGCTCCTCTTGCAGGCGCCGTTTCTCCTGGCGCAGCACCTGGCAGACAAAAGCGTGAGCGCCGTGCCCGCTGCAGCCCTCCTCCAGGTCCCCAGCCTGGGGGCGGGCAGCCCCGATCCCCTCGCCCCTCCACACTACCTCAATCTCCTCGCTCTCGGCCTGCAGCTGCTTTTCCAGCTGGGCGATGAGCTGCTTCTCCTGCAAGACAACAGCTGGGCCATGTGGGATGGCTGTGCTGGGACCCATGGACCCAAGGGACCGGGACCGACGTCCTCCTCACAGCCAGAGCCGTGAGGACGCCGAGCTCTGAGGACGAGCCCCCGCTCCACCCTACCTGCTCCAGCTGCTCTCGCCTAGCAGCCTCTCTTTCGTCCTGCACTTTCCGGCACTCCTGCGGGCAAGGAGGAGAGGCCATCAGGGCACCGGCGCTCCCACGGAGCTCCGTGCCGCCGTCCCCTCCCACCTCCTCCATCGGGGCGACTGGCGCCCGCAGGGCTGCAGCTGCAGCCCCGCACGGGGGGACTTCTCCCACCCCACGCCCCACGGCAGCACTGCTGAGCCCGCACACCCACACCGGCCCGTGTCGCTGCATCCGCTCACCTTCATCAGGAGTTCCTTGGCTTCAGCTCTGTGGTTCTCCACAGCCCTCTCATGAGCCTGTGGGAGGAGAGAGGAGCGGCGCTGGCACCGAGGCGCTGCCGGCAGCTCTGCATCCCGCCGGAGGTGCCCGGCCCTCTGCTGCCGCGCCACAGGCAGGGCGCCCTCCAGCCGGCAGCTCGGCCCGCCGGCCCTTCTGTGCCCGCCCACCCAGAGCTCACCTCCATCAGCTCCTGCAGCAGCTTCACGCGCTGCAGCGCTGTTAAATTTCCGCTGGCAAACTGGGCCCGCATGGCTGCACCGCTCGCACAGCTGCTCGCAGACCTGCACACCCGCAGAATGGGGCCGGCAGGGTGAGCGCTGACCCACTGCCCCTGCCCCGCCCCGGGGCCTCTGTGAGCTCAGCACGGCATTGTGACATCACCAGCACAGGAGGGTCCTTGGAGATCATTAAGAACCACAGCATGGATGCGTTGGGAAAGTCCTGGAAGGTCATAGAACCATA